CTACTCCTCCATTCCTAGGTTGTGGGTCTAAATGATTCTACAACTTCCTCTTGTATTAAGGAATTAAAACAAAGCAATTCAGGGCAGAGGTGGAGCTCAATGGTAAGATGATGTGGAGGTCGGAGGACAATTCTTGGCTGTTCCCCCTTGACATTTCATAGGATCAAGTGATTAAATTCAGGTCCTCTGTCCTGATTAGCCATTTTATCAACTCTCTCAATCAATATCTATCTATCTATCTATCTATCTATCTGTCTGTCTGTCTGTCTGTCTGTCTATCTATCCATCCATCCATCCATCCATCCATCCATCTATCCATCCATCCATCTATCTTTCTATCTGAGATGAGGTTTCACTACAGGAGCCATTCTGAACTTGATATGTGGATCATGATGGCTAAAACTTCCAGAGATAGGATTGTCTCTACCTCCTCAGTACTGGAATTAAAGGCACCCCCCCCCAATTTCTTATCAGTATACCACTCATAGGGGTTGGAGAGATAGATAGCTCATCGGTTAAGGACACTGACTGCTCTTCCAGAGGTCCTGAATTCAATTCCCAGCAATCACATGATGGTTCACAACCATCTGTAATGGGTTCTGATGCACTCTTCTGGTGTGTCTGAAGACAGCTACAGTGTACTCATATACATAAAATAAATAATTTCTTCAATATACCACTCATAGGATTTAAGATATATCCTAATGACTTCATTTGAAGTGGGAATTTAATGGTTCTTTGGAGAGTCAGTTGTGTTGGATGGTGTTTTACTGGGACAAATATGTGAAGGAGTGTGATCCTAAAGTGGACACAAGTGAAAGACTAAGACAGACTGGTGAAGGAACATTTGGCTGAAGCAGACACAGGAGAAAGGATGATCTGCTAAAGCAAGCACGTGAAAGGACACGTGATGGATTCTTTGCTAATGACACACATGCATTGGTCCACCTTACACTGCAGTGTAGCTGAGCTCCATTTGTCAGGACTCCATAGAAAGAAACAACTTCTGGTGTTGTGTTGCAGTTTCTTGCCAATTCTGCAGACTTCTGCTGATTAGCAGAGTGATGTCAGCTGAGACAGATGCACATGCACAGGCTGAGGCAAGACCCTTGGTGGACATGTGACATTTGGAGGGATATAAATAGAACTCAATGGACAGTGATGAAGGCAGAGCTAGGCTTGCTTATAGAGTTAGCTGTGCAACACTTGTTGGTCTTTCATCTTTGTTGATATTTCCTTCACTGAGAGGCACAGCTGAGAGGTTCTCCAGGTGTTCCTGCTGGTCCCTCTTGTTGGCTAAGTGTGTGGAGGCTGAGGCCTGGCTGTGTCTGCTAGGTAGTGCCACCACTGCTGACTCATGTTTGCTATCCTGATTCTACCTAACTGAACTGCTGGTGTATCTGTGAAGTGTTTGTGAGTGGACTGAGCTGCCACTGCGAACCTGTGAACTGAACTGCTGATTTCCAGACAACACAGATGGGAGTTTCTCCAAAGAACCTTTCTAAACAGGTCCACTTCCCCATATCCTTTCTTCTCCACTACCTCTGGTGGATAGTGGGCTAAAAGGGAGGTTAAAGTGTTTAAGAACCATCATTAAAAATAGTTTTTTTTTTAAAGATTTATTTATTTTACTTATGAGTACACTGTAGCTGTCTTCAGACACACCAGAAGAGGGCATCGAATCTCATTACGGATGGTTGTGAGCCACCATGTGGTTGCTGGGATTTGAACTCAGGACCTCTGGAAGAGCAGTCAGTGCTCTTAACCGCTGAGCCATCTCTCCAGCCCAAAAGTAAGTTTTGAAAAAAAATTAAAGTTATACTTTGTCTTAGCTTTTTTCCTTTTTTTTTTAAAAAAGATAAGATCTAACTCTATCTTACACTGGCTGTGTTAGATCCTGTCTCAAAAACCCCAGAAAAATTGGGTATGGCAATACACAGATATAATCCTAACACTTGGGAGGTGGAGGTAGAAGGATCAGGAATTCAAGATCATCCTTGGCTACATAAAGCTGTAAGCTAGGCTCAGCTATTTGAGACCATTTCAAAAAACAAACAAAAGGCATGGTGGCAAATACCTTTAATACCAGTGCTCAGGAGGTAGAGGCAGAGGCAGAGGGATCACTGAGTTTAAGGCCAGACTGATCAATATAGCAAGTTCCAGGTGAGCCAGGGCTATTTCTCATTTTCCCCACCTCCCAATAAAAGCCCCAACAACAATAAAACAAAACTTATTTTGGGATTTGAGGGCATGGTTAGGTTACAGAATTACTAAAACAAAACAAAAATGCAAGGCATGCTAGTACATTACTTTAATTACAGCAGAGGAAGGTGGATTTCTGAATTCAAGGCCAGCCAAAGCTGCAGAGTGAGACTCTGTCTCAAACAAAACAGTTTTTAAGAAAGGGAGCTAGAAAGTTGATTCAGTTTTGAACAGAACTTGCTCTTGTGAAGATCTGGGTTTGAGTCCCAGCACCCACATATTGGCTCACAACTATCTGTAACTCCTGTCTGAGGGGATCTGACACCTTTCTCTCCTTCATGGACATCAGGCATGGGCATACTATGTAGGTGAAACACTCATATACATAAAATCAGTCAGTTTGAGGCTGGAGAGATGGCTCAGTGGTTAAGTGCACTGACTGCTCTTCCAGAGGTCCTGAGGTCAATTCCCAGCAACCACATGGTGGCTCACAACTGATGTCCTCTTCTAGTGTGTTTAATGTGTCTGAAGACAATTACAGTGTACTCATTTATATAAAATAAATACATCTTTAAGAAAGATAATTAAATGTTTTTTGTTTCATTTTTGTTGTTCATTTGTTTGTTTTTGAGACAGCATTTCTCTGTGTAGCCCTAGCTGTCTTGGGAATTTGTTCTTTAGACTAGGCTGGCCTTTAACTCTGTGATCCTCCTGCCTCCCAAATGCTAGGATTAAAGGCATGTGCCACCATTGCCCTGTCTTAATCTTTTGCTAAGTTCTTGACTCAAATATCTCACCTTGCTTAACATTAACAAACAAACAAATCTCAAAGGAAAGGTAAAGATCTGACAGTTAACTAAAACATGTAACACTAGTTGCTGGAAAGGTGGGTCATCAGTTAAGAACACTTGTAACTCTTCCCGATGGCTGGAGTTTGGCTCCTAGCACTGATATCTGGAGGGTCACAGCTACCAGTAATCCTAGCTCCAGGGGAAACAATTTCTCTTACCTCTGTTTCAATGCACTCACAATCACAAATCTATATTTGTATACATAATCTAAAAGATCAAAGGTATTTTTTTTGAGACAAGCTCTAACTATGAAGCCTTGGCTGTCCTGGAATTTCCTATATAAATCTGGCTGCCTCAACAGCCTCTGCCTTTGGAGTTCTGAAACAGGTGTTTGTGAGTATACCTGGACTTTTAAACAACTTGTTACTATGATTGTTCGTTTTTTCAAAACAGGGTTTCTCTGTGTATCCTTGGCTGTCCTGGACCTACCTCTGTAAAGCATGCTGGGTTCGACACTCAGGGAGACCTATGCCTCCTGAGTGCTGAGATTAAAGCTGTGTGCTAAGGCTGGAGAGATGGCCCATCCGTTAAAGAGCACTGGCTATTCTTGGAGAGGACACACAAGACAGATCAGAAACTATATATAATTCCTGTTCCAAGGGATCAGACACCCTCACACAGACATACATGCAGGCAAGACACCAATGAACATAAAATTCAAATAAATAAATAAATTATAGAGGTGTGTGCCACCATGCCCCACAAAAGTTATTTTTAAAAAGAATCCACTTATTTCTATTCATTTTTAGATTTTTTTTCATTTTGTGTGAATAAGTGCTTTACCCATATCTATGTCTGTGTACCACATGCATGCCTGGTGCCTAACAAAGTGGTGAGCCTCCTTGTGGGTGCTGGGAATTGAAACAGGGTCCTTTGAAAGAAAAACAAGCGTTCTTAACCTCCGAGCTAACTTTCTAGCCACATTTACTTTTATTTAATATGTATGAGTGTTTACTTGCATACATGTGTTCCATGTGTGTGCCTAGTGCCTCTGGAGGTCAGAGGAAGGCATTGATTGAAAGTCCTGGAAGTGGAGTTACAAATGATTGTAAAACAAGCTGTGTGTGGTGGTGCTCACCTGTAATCCCAGCTCTTGCAATCATAGGCAGGCAGATCTCTGTGGGTTAGGTCAGTCGGTCTAAACAGTAAGTTTCAGGCTAGCCAAGGATATACTGTGAATCCCTTCTAATATATATGAAAGAAAAAATAGACAGCTAAAATGTTTAAAGTGTTTTAAGTACAGGATTTAGGTCAACAACTTGGACATGAGTAGAGTAAGATGAAGGCATCAACTGATTGGATCAATCAAAGGGGGTGGATCTAAACACCAGCATCCCTTTGAGGGTGTTTGAGTTTTGAATCAAGCGCGATACTTTTATCTGTAGCCAATCCTAGAGCAGCATCTTCTTTCGTCAGTAGTTGCCGAGGCCCAGAGCCACGCGTCTCTCTGGTCAGTTCTAGCCGTTGCTGCTGTACTCGTGCCCAGCTCTTGCGTTTCCATCCGTTAAGACTGAGAGGGCATAGGGAAGACCTGTCACCTTCTCGGGTATCCCCGACAGAAAGAAACCCTCGGGACTACTTTTTCACAGTCGCAGAGACTCACTGGCTCCACTTAATTGTGGAATCTCTAGGCTGGCTCCCATTCAGAAGTTTTTGCTTCTAACACGACTAGCCACAGAAGCAGGAAGTTGTTTGATTTTTGTTTTCTTTTTCCTTCCTATCTTACTTTCTTTTTTCTTTTTTAAGGAAAAAACGGGCCAGGACGGGAAGTTATCCAAACGGGAAGGGATACGGGGCTGTGTCCTTGTGACAGAAAAAGTGTTGAGTCCTGGCCCTTTAAACCTGAGGGGGGAGGATCCGGAAGTGGATGGGCGGGGCAAGGCGGCACTGGTATATAAGAGGGCCTCAACCGCGCGGGGTCTCCAATCTGCCATTTTCTCTGCCCGAGTAAGTCTTCACTGTCTGGAATTCTCTCGTTTTCTTCGCAGGCAGTATTCTGCCCACTGGCCCACCACCTCAGGGGAACGATGGCCACAGAGTCTACAGCCACTGCTGCCATCGCCGCGGAGCTGGTTTCCGCTGACAAGTAAGCGGGACTGTGGCGAGCTTGAGGCACTGGCCAGTCCTCAGGGAGAGCTGGTGGAGGACTTGGCTTCGCGGGCGGGATGGCCTGGTGGGAGGGACAGCTGCCCTCCCCTAAACAGCTGCAGGCGTTCGGAGAGGGTTGGTCTGTGGAGAAGCCCCACTTGCGAAGAGCTGGCGCACTAGCGGTAACGGCGGGTGCCTGGCGCCCCCTGCCCGGCTTTTCACGGCCGCCATCTTGCCGGGGGCAGCGGTAGTTGTCTCCATCGCCGGCCCCTTTTCTTCCACCCCCGGCCCGAGGTAGCCGGTAGGTAGGCGGGCCCCGGCTCCAGTCGGTTCTTCAGCTCCTACTGTCCGCGCACTCCTAGGGTGCGCCTCTGTAGAGAGTCGGTAGACGAACCTAGAAATTGGCCAACAGATTTGGCGCCAAAAAAAAAAAAAAAAAAAAAAAAACCCACCCGCGGATGAAGGCTTGGAACAGGGGACTCGGGTGGGTGGGGCCTCTCAGAGGGCGGGGTTTTGCATGCGGGCCGTCGTAGTTTTGGCTCTTCGGAGTGGGCGGGGCCTTTAGGAGGCGGGAAAACTCCATTGTTTGGAGTTGAAGCTGCTTTTGCAGGAGCAGTGGTGCGCAGCGAATTATATTCTATACTCCTACTAGGTTTACAGTAATCTGAGGGTGGTTACCGGACTGAAGCTTTGTAACTTTCAACCTTTGCGGAGAAGTGTCGTGGTTCTTTAGGTTTTCTGTATATGGGTCGGAGATTTTGTTCCTTCAAGAGACGACAGTTAACTTGTGTAGCTCTTCTGTAAAGGCTGTATAGAGCTTTCAGTCTAAGTGTTTACTTATACATGAGTTTGCCAAGCAAAAGGACCCCAAAGAAAGAATAACTGATTTGAGAGTTTTAAAGTGCTAATCAAGCATGAACTATTTCCTATAGTGCACAGAAACATCTATCAGTTCGAGGAAAGAAGTATTACAGCAGGTTCGACTTTCCAATCCCTTGCCTTTTTTAGGTGCTTGATATTTTTTTCTGTCCCTTGAGCATTTCGAAGTTTTGCCTTGGGTAAAGGTGCCTGTGAGATATTTGAGTGATTTTTTTTTTTCTATATAGGTTGAAATGTTTTAGTTGACATTTCACTCAGTCAGTTTACCCTATCACCTTTTGGTTCTTTTCCTAGTGTGTTCTTGAAAATCAGTGATTCTCAAACAACTCAACCATTTGGGAAGTGCAGTTTTAGTTTCAGATTCCACTTTCTTACTTCCTCTTCATTGATTTTTTTTTTTATTTAAGGCCAGATTAGATTAAGTTTGGGAATTCTGTAGATATTATAACAGAAAGAATTTCCTTTTATGGTGCTTTCTGAACAGCTGTTTGTATTACATTGGGGATCCTTTTCCTTCCAGTACTTTACTGTTTGAGAGTGCTTGCTTGCCTAGCATATCTTGGGTTAGATCTTCAGCTTTTTTTTTCCCAGACAGTATTTCTCTTTGTAGCCCTGGCTGCCTTGGAACTCAGAAGAGTTTCTGACTGCCTTGGCCTCCTGAATGCTGAGATTAAAGGAATGTATCACCACCACCCAGCCTACAGCTTTTTTTTTAAATGACTATATAAACAAACTTTACAGAAAATTTTATGTATTCATTTGTGTTCAATTAAACTTTGACTATTGGAGTAATTCCCAGCTTCCTGAATGGATATTTAAAGAAAATTACATGCCTACTTATAAAAAATCCACACAACACACTTTTGTTTTTGTTTTGGAGGGTTTCTCTATATCTTGGCTGTCCTGAAGTTCACTATGTAGACCAGGGAGAAATGGAACTCAAAAGATCTACTTGCCTCTGCCTCCCAAATGCTGGGATTAAAGGTGTGCAGCACCATGTCTAGCCTTCAGACTCATTTTTTAAAAATTGTTGTATCATAAGTTATATATTAAAACTCAGTGAACGATTTTATGTATTGGGCATGTCTGTGTGTATGTATATGAATGTTTTACCTACAGTATATATATGTGTATCATATTTATGCCTGGTCTCTGAGGAAGACAGAAGAGGATTTAAAATCCCTTGGTGGTTATTTTTCCAAGACAGTTTCTTTGTGTAACTCTGTCTTTGAACTCATTCTCAGATCAGCTTGCCTCCAACTACCAAGTGCTAGGATTAAAGTTGTGCCACCCAAGTAATTTCTCAGTCGCATGACAACAGTGTGAAGTAGTTTTAAATATTTCTACAGGTAATAAAAATCAAGATTTGAATCGATAAATTTTCAAATTAAGTTGATATTTTGAGTTAAATCCTATTTACTTGAATTTTCATTTCCTCATTTTCCATGAAAAACCTTACCTGGCAGGAAATTGTATATTTAATGAGTTTGAGATAAAAGTGAGGACACCATGCTTAGTAGAGGTATTTAGAGGTTTTTTGTTGTTGTTGTTGTTTTTGTTTTTTTTGATGATACTATGGGATTAACCTAGGACCTGTATGCTTCTGTCACTGGGAATCATAATCCCAGTCACAGTGTGTTTAAGGTGAGTGGAAGAAAGTGAGTTGAATTTTGACTTTACAGTTTGGGAGTTGTAGCTCAGCAGAGTGATTGCCTAACATGCATGATCTTGGGTTAGATCTCCAATATTGTGTTTAAAAAAAAAAAGGACTGGTAGTATACATCTGTAATCCCAGCATGTAGGAGGTTGGTGCAGGGAATCCAAATATCAGGTTTATTTTTTATCACATGCTGGCTTTGAGACCAGCCTGATAAACCCTTTCTTATTTTTATTATTATTTATTATTATTGTTGTTGTTGTTGGGCATAGTGGTACACACCTTTAATCCTCAGGTGGCTATCTATGAGGCCAGCCAGAACTATGTAGAGAGTTCTTATCTCAAAAAACCAAAATAGCAACAACAAAAAATGAATAAGTTTGTATGTCTGCGCACCACACACATGCTGGTGTTCTCGGAGGCAATAGGCTTTGAATCCCCAGGAATGAAGTAAAAGATGGTATGTGCTGGGAATTGAACTTGGATCCTCTGCAAGAACAAGTACTTTTTGATAATTTTATTTTTTAAGACATTTCCTTTTTTTTTTTTAAATATTTTTATTTATATCAGTACACAGTAGCTGTTTTCAGACACAACAGGAGAGTGCATCGAATCCCATTACAGGTAGTTGTGAGCCACTGTGTGGTTGCTGGGAATTGAACTCAGGACCTCTAGAAAAGCAGTTAATGTTAATAACTGTTGAGCTATCTCCAGCCCTGACAGTTTCTTTTTTTAGAGGTTTCCTGGTAGTCCTGGAACTCATTTGCTGATCAAGCTGGCATTCAGTTCCATCTGCCTCTGCCTTCCAAGTGCTGGGATTAAAGGTGTGTACCATCAAGCCCTGCAATAAAATTTAATCCAAACAAAATATTAGGGTCTAGGCTTGGGGAAATTGCTCAATGTGGGCTGCTTGTTTGAGGATCAGAGTTAGGATTCCCAGAGCTGGGCTGCTGTGGTGGCTGTTGGTAATCAAGGGTTACAGAGGTATAGATGGGTCAAACTGGCTAGCTAGACTAATAGAATTAGTGAGGTACAAGTTCAACTAGAGTCTGACTTTTTCTTTATGTGTGTCTGTGAGTGTATGCAATGTGAGTCTAGAAGAGGGTGTTGGATCTATTGGAGTTGTAGTTACAGGTTATTAACCACCACGTGGATGCTGGAAACTGAACCCACATGTGCTCTTAACACCTGAGCCATCTTCTCTAGCCTGATAAATGCCCTCTTGGTGTTCAGAATGAATTTTATGTCTTGCCTGGCAGTGGTGGCCACATGGCTTTAATCTTAACACTGAGGAGACAGAGACAGGTGGATCTCTGAGGCCAGCCTGGTCTACAGTTGAGTTCCAAGACAGTCAGGGCTTAGTAACCCTAGCTGTTTATTTGCTGCTGCATTCTTATCTCTTAGTCTTTTTTCATATGACAGCTCTGTCTTCCATTTAAACACTCCAAAATGGTTGAATTTGCAATATTATAAGGGGTAGCCAGCCAAAGATGGATAAAGTGTTTTTCCAGATGTGTTCTGTGGCATATATGCACATAGTCCCCTTTCTCACATCATAGCACACAATGATAGTCTTTAAAAATTATCTTTTAAACATTTTTTTTAAAGATTTATGTATATGAATAGGTTGTCACTTGTCTTCAGACACGCAAGAAGCAGGCATCTAATCCCATTAAAGATGGTTGCGAGCCACCATGTGGTTGCTGGGAATTAAACTTAGGATCTCTCCAGTCCTCTTTATCATTTCTTTTCAGCTATTTGCTCATTGTGCTGGTTAGTTTCCCATTAGAATCACTTAATATTCTTATTCCTTTTTTTTTGGTTTTCTGAGACAGGATTTCTCTATAGTTCTGGCTGTCCTAGAACTCAGCTCTGTAGACCATGCTTGCCTAGCCTGCCTCTGCCTTCCAAGGACTAGGATTAAAGAAGAGTGCCACCACTGCCCAACTATGCCTGGCTTTCTTTAAAACATTTTTTTACATGTATGAGTTTTGCCTGTATGTTGTGCACAATGTGCATACAATTCCTGTGGTAAATAGAAGAGTCTTTCCGAACCTCTGGAACTGGAATTTTGGACGGTTGTCAGCCACCATATGGGTACTGGGAACCCTGCCTAGTTCCTTCATGAGAACAGTCAGTGTTGTCACTGATACATCTCTGTAGCTCCTAATTGGGGTGTTTTAATCACAACAATGGAAAGGAATATAATACATATACTTTCCTTTTCTGTTTTTTGAGACTATTTTTTGAGACTTGTGTTCTCAAGTAGGCCTCCAAAGTATATTGTCTATACTGTTTTTAAATTTAGTTGTCCTACTTTAGCCTACCAAGTGTGAATTACATATGTGCCCCTACTATTGACTTTAGTATTTTTACTTCCCTTGACAGCCAAAAAGATTCAACTCCTAGGAATCTTGTTTTTCTAAGTTTATTATTGTTTTGTTTTATTTTTAATATATATATTATATATAAACAAATCTTTTTTCTTTTTCCGAGACAGGGTTTCTCTGTATAGCCCTGGCTATCCTAGAACTAACTGTAGACTAGGCTGGCCTCAAACTCAGAAATCTGCCTGTTTCTGCCTCCCAAGTTTGTTGTATTTTTGAAACAGGGTTTTACTACATAGCCTTGGCTAGCCTGGAACTAACAATGTAGATTAGGCTAGCTTCAAACTCAGACCTACCTCTGCTTCCCAAGTACTGGGATTAAAAGCATGGACTACCATTCCTGGCCTGATAAATTATTTAGCAAGTATATTTTAGAGCTGGGTGGTAGTAGTGGAATACACCCTTAATCCCATTCTTGGGGAGACAGGGGCAGGTGGATTTCTGAGTTCGAGGTTAGCCTGGTTTATAGAGCTAGTTCCAGGATAGCCAAGGCTACACAGAAACTAAGTATATTTTTGAAAAATATTAAGGTTATTTATTGTTGTTTATATATGTGTTAGTGTGGTGCCAGAGGACTCTTGTTGTCAGGGACACCTTTCAGGAATGAGTTCTGGAGACTCAAACTTGAGTTATCAGTCCTGCAAGCAAGCACTTTTACTCCAAGTAAAGGTTTTACTCATCTTACTAGCTCCAAATGTTTTGTTTTTTGGTCTTTTTTTTTTTTTTGATTCTCCTGTCTCTTCCTGAGTGTTGAGATTAATTACAGCATGAACTACCAGACTCTGCAAATTGTTCTTGTGAGTATAGTCAATTAAAATTAAACACATAAAATTAATTTTTAGAGCTAAGTGTGACAGACACCTTTATTAATTAATTCCAGTACTTGGGTAGCAGAGGTGAATTCATATAGTGTTTTGTAAACTGTTAATGGTATATACAATGACATGTACAAAGCTTTAGTGTAGTTAGAAACACAGCATAATCTGACATTGCTCTGTGACATATCTTCTATTTCATCTGTTACATATTGGAAATAAATAAAAATGTGGTCCTTTAATCATGGTAGTTAATGAATTTGTTCTTGTAGTCCTTGGATAGAATTTGGAGGTAGTAACTCAGTGGTAGATCACTTACTTTAAGTCTAGCATTTGAAGACTTTGCTAAGTATCTGTGAAACATAATCAATGGGAATAAAACTAGCTGCAGTAGGATTTGTATATAAGAATCTGGTAGATAGCCTGCTTTGTTGAGTCCTGTACCTGAAAGTATTGCTTTTTAAATTATTGTGCCTATTTTTTTCTGGTTCTTCATAGGAAAGTTGCTTGTTTCAGTGATTTAGGATTAAATTTTATTAAGCTACATTGAATTTTGTGTAATAGTAAGGGGATGACAGTAGTAAGGGTGTCAGAATACACCACTCCCCCCACCCCCCCTTTTTTTTGTTTTTGTTTTGGAGACAATACACCCTTGTGTGAGTCATTCTAGTCATTAAACTTAGGTTGTCATGCTTGGAAGCAGGTGTGACTTTATCCACTCACCAAAGAATTGAGCTTAATAACTGAGTCAGTAAAATATTTGCTTTGTACATATTTTGTTTCTTTTCTTTTTTCTTTTTTATCTTCCTTTTTTTTTTTTTTTTTTTTTAAAAAACTTTTTTTTTTTTTTTTTTTTTAAAAGACGGTTTCTCTGTGTAGCCCTGGCTGTCCTGGAACTCACTCTGTAGAACAGGCTTGCATAGAACTCAGAAATCCAGCCGGACAGTGGTGGCGCACGCTTTTAATCCCAGCACTTGAGAGGCAGAGGCAGGCGGATTTCTGAGTTCCAGGACAGCCAGGACTACACAGAGAAACCCTGTCTCGGGGGAAAAAAAAACATGAAAATTTTATGCTTTTGTATTTTTCTGATACTACTTAATATCCAAGCTTAAAAGATTTACATTTTAATTTTTTCCTCTTATTGATTATAGTATTGAAGATGCTCCTGCTCCTTCTACCTCTGCAGATAAAATGGAGAGGTAAGATTATATGCTACAATTATGTTTATATTTGAAACAAATGAAATTATGTAACTGAGGGAAGTTTGTTCACTCTGGGAATGAAATCTGAGGCTTTACTCATAGTAGTATTACTGGAACTGTCTCTTCTGTCCCTCTTCTTTTTAGATGCCTCTAGGGTCTGCAAAACCTGTTCAGGGATTCATTTAGATCATTTTTATAAAGAAAATCTGCCCCTTTCATTGTTTAATTGGCAGTAATATAAACACAGTAGTAGGTAAACCTAATGTCTGTCCAACCTAAATAAAGGATGTGCCATAATGACCACTGTGAACTGCTAACAGATTTTCCAAATACCTGGGTATTTGGAAGACATTTTATCCAAAATGAGAACATTCCTTAGGGGAAATCAATTCACAGTGTTTGTTTCCAGTAATAATATTTGAGGTAAATGAAAACTAAGATTTTCACTGTAGCTTGTTATTGTGCTTTCTTAGCATGCATAACAATCAAGGTTTACTCTCCAGTAACAGAAAGATTAAAAAAAAAAACTTTGGGGCTTAGATTTTGTAAGTAACCCCAGTTATCTTAATTTCTTTTCTGTTAGCTATTATAAAACATTGAGTAAAAGCAACCTGGGGAAGAAAAGATTCATTGAGCGTAACACTTTAAGCATCAATAAGGAGTATCAGTGGGAGCCATGGAAACACTGCTGTTTTCTTCTTTGTTTTGCTTACAGGCTCATGCTTAGCAAGTTTGTTTTTTATTTTTGTTTGTTTTTGCAGTGGAAGTCCATCTTTCTAAGGATGGTGCCTTTCTCAATAGGCTGGTCCCACAGGCCAGTCTGATTCTGGGCTGTTCCTCATTTGATACTCAAATGACTCTAGGGTATGTCTAGTTGGCAGTTAAAGCTAACTAGGACACCCAGCTTATTGAATCCTAAAGTAGGAGTTATCCTGGACTACAGATTGAGACCCTACCCCCCATTCTCCCCCCCCCCAAAAAAAAAACACAAACAAAAAAAAACCCTTAAAAGTAATTTAAGCCGGATAGTGGTGGCACACGCCTTTAGTTCCAGCACTTGGGAGGTAGAGGCAGACGGATTTCTGAGTTTGAGGCCAGCCTGGACTACAGAGTGAATTCCAGGACAGCCAGGGCTACACAGAGAAACCCTGTTTTGGAAAAACCTAATTTAAACTTTTGGAAAAGTATTTTTGACCATCATGAATTTGATCATGTCCCAGTACTTCAAAAATGATTTAAAATTAGATTGAAATTATTGAAATGATTGAATTATTTGAAATGATTGAAATTAGAGGTGACTTAAAAAAAAATGTGGTAAGAGGTAAGTATAATAGGACTTAACTGTAATTTTAACTATTCTATGAATTGAAATAGGAAGGCTGATCGCTTTTACTCTCAGTTTATGGCCTATCAATGCAACTCGTGAGACCCACTCCCATTCCTTTTTACTAAGTGCTGGGATTACACAAGTATGCACCACCAACCCTGGTTTACCTAACCTAAGCTAGTCTTTAACTTGCTATGTAGCTGGGGATTTATACCACACTGTTTTATGCTAGGCTTTAAACCCAAGGATTCATCTATAGGTAGGCATTTTTTCAATTTAGTCACATCTGCACATACTTCCTCATAACATTTTTTTAAATTATTTTTTAAAAAATATTTGGGGCCGGGCGGTGGTGGCGCACGCCTTTAATCCCAGCACTTGGCAGATTCCTGAGTTCGAGAGTTCGAGGCTAGCCTGGTCTACAGAGTGAGTTCCAGGACAGCCAGGGCTATACAAAGAAACCCTGTCTCAAAAAACTTAAAAAAAAAAAAAAAAAAATTTGGGCTGGAGAAATGGCTCAATGGTTAAGAGCACTGACTGCTCTTCCTGAGGTCCTGAGTCGAATTTCCAGCAACTGTGGTTCACAACCATCTCTATCTAATGGGGATCTGATGTCCTCTTCTGCTGTGTCTGAAGACAGTGACAGTTTACCCACATATATGAAATAAATAAATCTTTAAAAAAATATTTCATGTGTATAGGTGTTTTGCCTACATGTACATTTATGCACTACCTGTGTATTTAGTGTTACTTGGAAGCCAGAATAGGTTACTGGATGGATCCCTTTGAACTAGGTTTTGAGATGTCATATGGGTGCTGGGAATTGAACCTAGGTCCAGTGCTTATACTGAGCCATCTCTAGCCTCTCTGTAATCACTTTCATCCCAACATGTACCATATTTCCCCTTCCAAGAACAAGAACTTATATTTTATTTAGCCCTGGCTCACCTGGAACACACCATGGCCTCTGCCTCCCCAGTCCTGGGATTAAAGGGTGTGTCACCATGCTTTAATTTTTTTTTTAATTTTAATGTTTGTGGCATGCCTAATTTGTATATGTGTGTGTATGCTTATGGTGTATGCTGTGTGCACACATGTTCACTTAAAGGCATAAAGTTGATATTGGGGATCTTTGATCATTCAGTGAATATGAATCTCTCAACTGAAGCCTGATCTTGCTGAGTAGGATGCCTTCTCTACTTTCTAAGTATTAGAAATACAGGTGGGTCTACCCTGTGTTTAAGAGGGTCCTAGGGATCCAACTCTAGTCCTCATACTTCTTCAATCAGAGATTTATCCACTGAGGTAATACCATAGCCTCCTATTTATTTAGTTTGCCTATTCACCCAGATGGGGTTTCTCTGTATAACAGCCCTGGCTGTCCTGGAACTCACTATGTTGATTAGTCTGGTCTTGAATTCTGGCCTTGAGATCTGCTTGCCTCTGCTGAGATCAAAGGAATAGGTCACCACACATAGCTTATTTATTTACGGTATTACACCTCCCTCTAGAGTTTCATATAACACTGGTTTGGCCAAAGTCTCCCTGTATTTCCTGTGATGATCTTAATATTTTAAATTTTTTTGCCTCCTTCCAACTGCTGAGATCGCAGGTCTATGGTACCATACTTGCTTTTATACAGTGCTGGAGATTAAACCCAGGGATTTTTGTGTTTGCATATTAGACAAATGCTATCAACTGAGCTATATATATTCCTTTTTGTTTTTTGAGTCAGAGTCTCACTTTGTAGTCTTGGGTATCCTTGAATTTTCAGAGATCCACCTGCCTCTTAAATTCTGGGGTTAATGACATGTACCACCATACCTGTCTTCTGGTCCATCCCTGCCCCTTTTTTCTTTTAAAGCACTGTGTGTGTGTTAACAACTTGTGTATATAGAATGTTAGGAATTAAATTCAGGTTGTATGAGTACACTGGAGCTGTCTTCAGACACCAGAAGAGGGCATCAAATCACATTACAGATGGTTGTGAGCTACCTTGAGGGTTGCTGGGATTTGAACCTATGACCTCTTTAAAAGAGCAGTCATTACTCTTAACCATTGAGCCATCTCTCCAGCCCTTCAGTTTACTTTTTTAAAAATCTTTTTTATTTTTAGTGTTATGTGTGTATAGTTCTGTGAGCTTATGTGCCCCACATACATACAGGATTCTGCAGGACAAAAGAAGTCATTGGATTACCTGGAACTGGAGTTAAATACCATATGGGCCTTCATGTGGGTGTTGGAGTTGGAACCCGTTTTCTGGAAGAACAGCCAGTGCTCTTAAACCCTAAGCTATCTCTCTAGACACTTTTTTTTTAAAGTTATATATTCCAAGATAAGATTACCCATTTCTCATTGATTGGTAACTTTGTCAAATTTTTAATCTAGTTTGTATTCTGGTCTGGTCTGTATTTATGTTGCTATCGTATTGTCCTGTGTCTTACTTGGTATGGGGACTTGCTTGACTCTAGGGCCTCATGCATGCTATGCAAAGGTTTTGACTCCCAAGTGAGCCTTTGTGTTTTGTTCTTTGTTGTTGGTTTTTTTTTTTTTTTGTGTGTGTGTGTTGTTTGTTTTAAATTTATTTTTATTTGTATGAGTGTTTTGCCTGTGTATATGTATGTGCACCATGCCTCCTCCTTTAAAACCCTTTTTTAAAAAAAGAAGACAAACTGATTTTATAGCTCTGGCTGCCTTGGCCTCAAATCATGGAGAACTGCTTGCCTATTTATTTATTTTTATTTTAATTCTTTTTTTATTTTACTTTTTTTTATTTTAGCTCTGGCTGTCCTGGAACTCACTCTGTAGACCAGGCTGGCCTCGAACTCAGAAATCTGCCTGTCTCTGCCTTCCAAGTGCTGGGATTAAAGGCAGGCGTGTGCCACCACCACCCGGCTCACTTGCCTATTTTTTGTGAGTTCTGGGATCAAAGCTGTGTGTTACCACACAGTCTTTCTGCTTTTGCAACAGGATCTTTATAACCTGAGAATGGATATTATAGTTATCTACCACCATGTCTTGTGTGTATGGTACTAGAGAATGAATCTAAAGCTCTGTGCATTGCTGGAAAGCAGTTATATCTCCAGCCTCAACCCTACCTATTTTTTTTTTTTATAGTTTTTGCTTTTAATTTTAGCTAGTAAACACGTATGTGTTTTGGTTTCCTTGTTGGTAGTTTTGTTGTGTAATTAGCATTTATTTATAATAGCATGTTCTGTAAGGTTTTGTGAAAGTTCCATTTTTAATTTTTTTTCTTTTTTTGTAAGTGTGACTTAGCAGGTCTTCTCTCTTCATATAGTATCTTGGTGTGTAGTTAACAAGCTCATTCTCAGTCATCCTGCCTTTTACCTTCAATCCTGCGATTATGGGTGTGCATCCTGCTTGGTTAATTTGCTAGGTCTTTTTAACTGTTATGGTTTAGATGTAATATATCCAATGAATATTGATGTAAACAATATTTGACACTAAATAAAATATTTTTTTTGCAGTCTGGATGTGGATAGTGAAGCTAAGAAACTACTTGGATTAGGACAGAAACATCTGGTGATGGGTGATATTCCAGCAGCTGTTAATGCATTCCAGGAAGCAGCTAGTCTTTTGTAAGTATATGTTCTATTGTATTGCTTATAAACTTGTAAAAGGTTTTCTATGGGGATAAAGAAGGAAGAATGAGTATAGAGGCACAGGAACACGGTGGTAGAGTACTTGCCTAATATGGGAACTCCCACATCTAATCTTCTGAACCACAAAAACAACTCTAGCTTTTTATTTTCTGTGGATGAGTTTTTATTATAATTCTAAAGCCTAAATATCACTGGGTAATTTTAGACTTTAACCTTTTTGATAAGATGATTTTCATCATTGTCACTAATAAGACAAATAATTTTTTACTTTTTATTATATAAAATATGCTTGAGAGTCGGGGGGTGGTGGTTGGGGCACACCTTTAATCTCAGAATTTGAGAGGCAGAGGCCAGTCTGGTTTATTGTAGAGGAAGTACTAGCACATCCAGGTATACAGAGAAACTGTCTTGAAAAATATACTTTGGCTCAATTCTAAGGCCTTTTAGATGGAAAGCAAGTACATTAAGCTACTCCCTTATTCTACTGGGCATCAGTTTGGTTTTTATTTTTTAATTTTTTTGTGTGTGTATGAATATGTTGCCTCAAAGTATGTATATATGCCATGTGTGCCAAGTGCCTATGGAGGCTAGGATTGGGCATTGGGATACCTTTGGTAGTAGATTGTGAGTTGTCAAGTGTGTGGGTGCTAGGAATCAAACCCAGTTTCTCTGTCAGAGCATTATTTTTTTTTTTTTTTAAAGCTTTCAACCTTCTCTCCAGCTTGACTACTCTTTTGTTTTGTTTTTTCGAGACAGGGTTTCTCTGTGGAGCTCTGGCTGTCCTGGAACTTACTCTGTAGACCAGGCTGGCCTCTGCCTCCCAAGTGCTGGGATTAAAGGTGTGCGCCACCACCACCCGGCAGGATAGCATATTTTAAACATTGACATTGTTATCTGCTTATGTAATTGATTGGAATATGATGGGAGCCATGAGTTGGCTGTATATTGGAGAAGCAGATTACTAAAGTAATCTTAGTCTTCAATCACTTTTCTAATCACTTTGTCTGAACTCTTTGTTTCTATGATAGTTTTCCTAATAGTAATTGAAGGTTAGTCATGTGTTCTCATTCACACCAGGAAAAAAATTCTTACAAGCTTTTGTAGGTTTCAGATTTACTTTTTGCCCATGCATAGTTTCTTCTCTCAGCATCCAGAACAATCTTATTCTTAGATGTCTGAAGCAGTCACTGGGCCTGCCTTTGTTCTTTTCTGTCTGGACTTAATAAGTTTGGGCTGTGTATTTAGTGCTATGAGTGAAGATCCAATATATTCTGGTGTCTTTTATTATTATTATTATATGTAAGTACACTGTAGCTGTCTTCAGACACCCCACAAAAGGGTATCAGATATCATTACAGATGGTTGTGAGCCACCATGTGGTTACTGGGATTTGAACTCATGACCTCTGGAAGAGCAGTCAGTGCTCTTAACCACTGAGCCATCTCACCAGCCCCCTATTCTGATGTCTTATTCTCTGTATTACTGTGATAAGCACCATGCCCCCAAATCAACTTGGGTTAGGTATTAAGGGTTTATTTGGCTTATATGTCCTGATCATACTCCCATCATTGAGGGAATTCATGGCAGGAACACTGCTTATCGGCTAATTTTCAATGTCCTACTCACTCTGCTTTCTTATACTATTATGACCACTGGCCCAGAAGTGGTATTGTCTACAATGGACTGGGGAGGGGGGGCTTCCTATATTAATCATTAATTCAGAAAATGTCCCATAGACTACAGGTTGTCTCAGATATTGTCTCAGTTGAGATTTCTCTTCCCAGATGACTCTAGATTGTGTAAAGTTGTCAAAAACAAATCAGTGTAAACTGTAAGTATTGGAAATTTTTCCATAAAAATGTTTCTGTCTGAACATGTACATGTCTGGTGTTAAGCAAGGCCAGAAGGTGAGCATCAGATCACTGGAACAGGAGTTAAAAGTGCTTGTAATCTGACCTATCGGTGCTGGGAACTGAACCATTGAACCTGGGTCTTATGGAAGAGTAACAAGTGCCCGTAACCATTAAGGCATCTCTCCAGCACAATACGTGGGTTTTTAAAGAATAAGTGAACACTCTTAGTTTATTCTTTAGAATTTTGAAAGATCAATGTTTTCACTCTCCTGCCAGAAAGGTTATATTGGAATCTTTTCCCCTTCAGTGTTGGCTTAAAAGCTCACGGCCTCACATTCTAGGAAAGAGCTCCACTGAGTTAAATTCTCATTGCTTAGGAAAAGAATTTAAGAAAAACTGTTCTAATGGAATTCACTTAAACATAACCTTCAGCACAGTTACTTTTTGCTTAGTTTGTCTCATATTCAACTTTTTTTTATATTATTACTTTTTTTTTCATGACCATTAGTGTTTTGCTTGCATATATGTGAGGGTGTCAGATCTCCTGGAAATGGAGTTAGACAGCTGTGAGCTGCCATGTGGGTGCTGGGAATTGAACCTTGGGTACTCTGGGAGAGCAGGTAGTGCTCTTAACTGATGAGCCATCTCTCTAGTTCCCTTGCTTGTCTCATAGTCTTGAAAGATTAGTTGGTTTAATTTTATAAGACTTATGCTAGTCTTTGGATTCCATGAAAGCTGATATACTTGCTTCTTGGTTTTTAATGTTTTATGTGTGCCAGGTATGCCCATTAGTTTAGAGGTCCAAAGAGGGTTTTGGATTCCCCAGATCTGGAGTCCTTGCTTTTAACTGCAGAGCCATTTCTCCAGCCCTAAGTATATGACTCTATGACTTTATATATGTATATGTGCTTGTCTGATGCCTTCAAGAGGCTAAAAGAGGATACTGGATTTGGAACTGGTGTTATGGCTGTTAACCAAGTGGGTGGGTGCCAGGAACAAGTGCTCTTAACCACTCAACTTTTTCCAGCAACCTTTTTTTTTTTTTTTTGGTTTTTTGAGACCGGTTTTCTCTGTGTAGCCTTGGCTGTCCTGGAACTCACTCTGTAGACCAGGCTGGCCTTCAACTCAGAAATCGGCCTGCCTCTGCCTCCCAAGTACTGGGATTACATGCATGTGACACCACTGCCCAGCTTCCAGCTACCTTTTTTGTTCTTGTACTGTTTTTGTTTTTTTGGAGACAGTTTTCTCTGTGTATTCCTGGCCATTCTGGAACTGACTCTGGAGACCATGCTGGCTTCCAACTCAAAAGATACTGGCCTCTGCCTTTCAAAGTGCTAGAATTAAAGGTGTGTGCCACCATTGCCCAGCTTTTCCAGCCACCTTTTTAGTTTTTTGTTTTGTTTTTCTCCTAGGCTTATTTCTCCTCCTGTCTCCCTGACAGGGTTTCTCTGTAACCCTGGCTATCCTAGAACTGCTTCCTTAGACTAGGCTGGCCTTGAACTCAGAGATTAGTCTGCCTTTCTCTAGAGCATTGGGATTAAACCTTACATACCACCATGCTGGACAACTGTTTCAGTAAAATAGCTCTGAGCAGTTATATAACACTTGCATTTTACAAAAAGGAAAATTTTAGGCACAGAGGTAGAAGAATTTGTCTAATAGTGTATTGCTAGTTATGAGTTAAAAAGAGGTTTCATTTTAGGTATCCTGCTTTCAGTGTTACTGCTCTATGGAAACTGGAGAGATGGTGTAGTGGTTAAGAGCACTGACTATTCTTCCAGAGTATCCAAGGTTCAATTCTCAGTACCTACATAGCAGCTCATACCTGTTTGTAACCTCAGTTTTAGGGCTTATGACACTCATATAAACATATGCAGGCAAAACACCAATAAATGAAAAATAAAAATAAATTAAAAACACAATCAGAAACGATACTTTATTTCAGAATACCCTTCCATGGTTCTTTTTCATTTTGTAAGTCTCAACCAAAGATCTTTTAACTGTTCTGGACCACATGGTATTTATAAAGTGGCAGCAAGAATACTTATAAAATACTTAGTTGGTGGCACCTAAAATCTATATTACATATAGATTTAGAATATGTAACATTAACTTCATGTGTTGTTAACTAGCAATTAACAATGTTCAGACTAGGTATTTACTTTCTTTGTAGAGGTAAGAAGTATGGAGAAACTGCTAATGAATGTGGAGAAGCCTTCTTTTTTTATGGGAAGTCACTTCTGGAGTTGGCCAGGTATGTCTTGGAAATGTCTTGGAAAGCCTCATTATATCACTTTGATTTCTTTAAAAATTGAAGCTTCTTTGTTGGCTAAAATTGTCTATGCAAAGAATGAAATTACTTTTTTGAGGTTTTAGTTAGTAGAAACAGTGATCTTTTCAGTAATAGTCAATGGTTAATCAGGGTTTAATACAGAGATGAACATTAAGAAACACTCAGCTGCCAGGCAGTGGTGGTGCACGCCTTTAATCCCAGCACTTGGGAGGCAGAGGCAGGCGGATTTCTGAGTTCGAGGCCAGCCTGGTCTACAGCGTGAGTTCCAGGGCAGCCAGGGCTACACAGAGAAACCCTGTCTTGAAAAACCAAAAAAAAAAAAAGAAAGAAAGAGTCTGAGCAAGCTCAAAATAGTTATTCAATAAGGACTGTGTGGAGTCGAATTTGAATAAGTAACACATGAAAATATCTAGTAAATAAGACTTTCTTTGTAAGGTTCCATATCCCTGAATTTCCAAAATCTGAGGAGGCTGAAGCAGGGGGACCAAATTCAAGTTTTGTAGCCTGACTTACAAAAGGAGACTTTCTCTCCAGTTGGAGACTATTAACATTCTTAGAAACTGCTTAACAAATCTATTATATAAATGTTTAATTTATTAATTTACTAAATAAGTTAATAATTAGTATTCATTTAATGTACAACTATTGTATAAAAGTAAAGCTACAAGGTTATTTTGTATAAGTGATAAGTCTTCCCACAGTTCTCTTAAGTTCCCTAATTTTGTGAATATTCAGAACACTTAATGTATTAATACTAAATGAGTTAGTACTAACACAATAAATTGACAGAGTGTCACTGGCCATATAAGGGAAATGGGAATAGATTTTAGTTTAGTATAGTTTAGATAATAGTTTGTCCCTGCTACAAAATGAAATGGATAGATGTTTTATTCTCTAGCTGATAATCACTATTTGCACATTTCAGATGAGAGTCTGCTTTCTCTTATCCTACTGCATTAGTGCTTGTTAAAAGTTTTAAATGGTTTCTTTAGTATTTTTTAATTGTTCAAAATAATCAGCCAGTCCTGTGGTGATCTTATATAGGCTTAATTAAGCACATTTGCTATTGAGCAGAAAGTGCTCTTGTTATACCTGAAGTCAGTGTCCCCACCCTTCCTCTCTGGTTCATTCATATCATACTCTGTGCCTCTTTTTGGAGTTCTCTGAACCATGGAAGAAGTGATACAGACATTCTTTTATAGCTGGACATTCATTATTAAAGTTTTGATCATTGGTTGTCTTCCTTGAGCGTGTAGTTGGTTTTGTTTTTTTGTTTGTTGTTTGTTTTGATATGGAAGTGTCTTAGTTGATCAGAGTAACTTAAAAGAGCTTATTTGGAGGCCTATCGTTTCAGAGGGTGATTTCATAACTATCATGGAAAGGAGCATGGTGCAGGGCTGGCAGGCATGGAACCGGAGCAGTAACCATTGTTGGAATGGCTTGAAATTTTGAAATGTCTGTGCCCACCCCAAGTGACACTCCTCTTCCAATAAGACCTTTCCAAATAGTTCCACTAGCTAGAGATCAAGTATTCTAACATGAGCAATTCTCATTCAGACTGCTACTTTGTAGTGATCTTACTTTGTAGATCAGGAAAACTGCCTAATTCATATTCCTTAGTTGGTATTAAAGGCATGTGACACAAGGCTAGGCCTACTGTTTTTGTTAATGTTGCTGCTGTTCTTTAAGATTTTTCTTATTTTAACCAGTTGGTGGTGTCACAGCACTTAGGACAGAGAGGTAGGCCGATCTCTTGAATTTGGGGCTGCCTGGTATGCAGAGCTTGTTAGTTCCAGGACAGCCAGGGCTATACAAAGGAACTGTCAAAAAAAATTTTATGTAGAGATAGATTTGTTTGTGCACATAAGTGTGAAGTACTTCCCAGGGCTAGAATTCTCAGATCTCATAAGAATTTGAATTATAGACATTTGTGGATGCCAACAAATGAATTCAGGTCCTCTGGAAGAGAGGCAAGTACTGTTAACCACTGATCCATTGCTCTGACACTGCATCTCCCTCCCTACACTCATTTTTAAAGAATAGGTCTTGCTGTGTGGTCATGGTTGGCCCTGAACCTGCAGAACTCTTACAGTTTTGAATATATATTTTTATAGTCTCTTAACTTGATTTCTTTTCCTGTTTTTTTTTTTCCACAATCATAAAATACATTATTAGGAACTAGTTATACTTTTGTGCTTTTTCTTCTTATAGAATGGAGAATGGAGTGTTGGGAAATGCCTTAGAAGGAGTGCATGTAGAAGAGGAAGAAGGAGAAAAAACAGAAGATGAATCTTTGGTAGAAAATAATGATAATGTAGATGGTATGTAGAGTTGCATGCTACAGTCAAGAGATGCGACGACTGATATTTCTTTTAAAAAGTTATGGAAATAGGGTTCTCCTGGTGGTTGGTCTCTCCAAAGATACTTGGGCTGATGTAGTAAGTGTAGGCCATTACTAAAGTGATAGTGAGCATCTAAGAGAATAACCAAATGTATCAAATAGATAAATTCTTTTAAATTGGCATATTAAATATTAAAACATTAAATATGTTTCTGATGCATATTTTTAAAACACCTTACATAGCTCAGTTATTTTTAATAGTCCTTGGAGCACTTCTGTTTTATACATCTCAGAAAATTAAATATTTTCTAAGTTTGTCTGTTAGAATTTTACATATCAAATAAGTATAATGTTTAAGAGAGGGAGGAGAGCTTGACATCTCTTTTCTGACTATTAACAGATTACTCTATGTGAACCTACAGGCTTCATTTCTTTGCAGTATGTTGCTTTGCTAGCTTGGATTCTCCCTTTCTCCCTTTGCTTTTCTCATTGGGGCATCTGATAAAACTTAGGCTTAAAGGGAATGTATTTCTACTTTCAATTTATGCTTTTATCATTAAACTTGGAGACATGTTTATGCTTCATGTTCTTTAACCATGTAGAGGAAGCAAGGGAAGAGTTGAGAGAACAGGTTTATGACGCCATGGGAGAAAAAGAAGCCAAAAAAGCAGAAGGCAAGTCTCTGACAAAGCCTGAAACTGATAAAGAACAGGAAAGTGAAGTGGAGAAGGGTGGAAGAGAAGATATGGATATAAGTGAGCCTGCAGAGAAGCTCCAGGAAAAAATTGAATCGACTTCAAAGCAGTTAACTGAATCCTCTGAAGAGGCAAAAGAAGCAGCAATACCAGGACTGAATGAAGATGAGGTCACTTCTGGGAAGACAGAACAGGAATCACTGTGTACTGAGGAAGGAAAATCAATTTCTGGAGCTTATGTTCAAAATAAAGAATTCAAAGAAACAGTGCCTCAGGAGGAGGGAGAGGAAATAATAAGCTTAGAGAAAAAGCCAAAAGAAACTTCAGAAGATCAGCCTGTTGAGGCTCCAGAAAAGCAGGGCACTTTAATGAAGGTGGTAGAAATAGAAGCTGAAATAGACCCTGAAGTCGAGTCAGTGGACGTGGGTGGGGAGGACCCAAAGGATCAAGTAGCTACCTCTGAGAGTGAACTAGGAAAGGCTGTTCTTGCGCAACTGTCAGGGCAGGATGTTGAAATATCACCAGTAGTGGCTGCAGGGGCTGGATCAGAAGTCTCTGAGAAGCCAGGGCAGGAGATTACAGTTCTTCCCAACAATGGTCCAGTTGTTGGACAATCAACTGCAGGAGATCAGACTCCTAGTGAACCACAGACTTCTGCAGAAAGACTGACAGAAACTAAAGATGGCTCAAGTGTAGAGGAGGTCAAGGCAGAGCTGGTTCCTGAACAGGAGGAAGTTATGCTACCTGTAGAAGAATCTGAGGCAGCTGGAGATGGGGTTGAGACCAAGGTAGCCCAGAGGGCCACGGAGAAAGCACCTGAAGACAAATTTAAGATAGCTGCTAATGAAGAGACACAAGAGAGAGACGAACAGATGAAAGAGGGTGAAGGTAACCGGGATATGATAGAGCTGCAGTGGGTGGAGTACATTTCTAGATTTGACTCACTAATCATTGGTAAAAGTCAGCCTTCCATTCAGGATTTTCAGTCTGCCTTTAGAAACTACAAAATAGGTCTTCTGATTTCTGAAACTTGGCTAGCAGTCAGTAACTTGTTATTCCATGCTAGCCAACGAAATGATATGAAGGGTGGATTAGAAGTGGGTTGTGGGATAGCTAGGGACATAGTAGGCTAGGCTGGCAGAGAATGCTGAATGGATGTTCACTTGCATGTCTTTGGAATTTTAAATTTGCTGTTCACATGGTTTCTCCTCTGTTGTAGGAAGTAGGAACAGAGCAGTAGAATCCACTGAATTGGTACACTTAAGCAGGCATGCCATTTAAGTGAAGTCAGTTAACTTTCTGGTGCCCTTTTCACTATTAGTCCCTAGAAATGTTTAGAGGATTATTCACATTAATTTCAGTAGCCCTCTTCAGGGAAAAGAGATAGAACAGTACTTAGCCATTATCCCTTTTGTTGCTTTCCTTCTTCATTTAATGCTTGCTTTGGCTGCTAATCAACTATAGTGTTACTGGCTTAATTCAGATTCAATTTTATCAATGTTTTTAAGCCTCTAACTAATTGGCACGTCTGACTTGAGTTGTTCTCAGTTGGGGATTCTACTGTAAGTTTCATCTAACATTGGCATTAATAATTACAGGTATATTTCAATTAATTTTCTGTGTAGCTGATAAACTATTTTATGGGTTGTCTTAAGTTACGGATTTTCAGTGACCTATCTTTATTACTTGACCATTCTGGTAAGCATTTGCCTGTGTGCAGGTCCCTGCACTCCAGCCAGCAGACATAGTCAGATGTGAACTTGGTAAGTGGTAGTACTGTTGGGCTTCTTGAGCTTTAGGAGTTAATAGAAAGCTTAGAATTAAATTCCTCAGGTTTTTTTTTGTTGTTGTTGTTGTTGAAAATTCTTGTGTTTTGATTCTTCCCCCTCCCTCTGAAGTGCTGAGGATTGAACACAGGGCCTCATGTGTTAGCCAAGTACTATACTGTTGTACCAAATCTTCATCCCTATAAGTGACATTTTTTTTAGTGTTCTTTGGCTAATAAGATTTTGTGGATTTTATAAGTACAGTCTAGGGAGAAAGCCTTCATCACACCTAATAGAGATGGGTGCAGTCACCTTCTATGGTTGGTTCCATTATATTGGATAAATGGTAATCCACATCTTATATGTGGGTAAAAGCATATGCCACCCAAGTGTGAGAACCTGAGTTCCCAGAATCCACATAAAATTGTCATATACTCCATACCAGCCTTTCTCAGGAGAGATAGGAGACATATAGATTTCCTAGAAGCTTGTGGAACAACTAGCCTGGCACATAAGAGACCCTGTCCCGTCACTGAGCCACCCAAGACCATCTCCCCTGTACAGATGCAAATTGTAGTCATAAAGGTTTGCTCTGCTCAGATGGTCTGTGCTAACTGATCTGGTAGGTACCTGTAGGAATTATAGAATTAGTATTCTTTCATTTATTTTTGAAGCAGGATCTCACTATGAATCCAGACTGGCCTTAAATAATGGCAGTCCCCTGGTCTATGACATGCCCTCTGTGCTGGGTTTACAGATGTGAGGATTGCATAGCTTATTTATCTTTGATATATTTTCTTAATTGGTATCTAATTTTCATTTTGGCATATTTTAAGTATGTCACGAGATCAGATGTAAAAATAGGAAAATGGAAAATGCACATGACTAGTAATACTTGTTTGCAATAAGGTCAGAAAATACTTAAATTTATTTTTGCTGACGACATTAAGTATATTCCTATTAGTGCTTTTTCACTGGTTTGTTTAAGTTTGGGAGTTTTTTTTTTTTTTTTTGATTTTTTCGAGACAGGGTTTCTCTGTGTAGTTCTGGCTGTCCTGGAACTCACTCTGTAGACCAGGCTGGCCTCGAACTCAGAAATCCACCTGCCTCTGCCTCCCAAGTGCTGGGATTAAAGGCGTGCGCCACCACTGCCCGGCGAAGTTTGGGAGTTTTACAGTTAGTGGCTTTCTAGCTCATCTCCACTATTCATAAAGGCAGTAACTTAGATTTCTCAAGAGAAACTCATTTTCAGGTAATTGTAAGAACATTAATGTATAAATTTTCTACGAAATTCTAAGATATTTTATGCCAAATTAAGTTTCATGACACTTTGGTATAAGTACAAATAGGTACAGATACCAGATAATTATATGTTTGTAATTTTGTTTTTTTCAGACTACATCTCATTCTATAGCTTAGTTTCACTAATAACTGAAAGTATAGCTGTTTTGTTTGTTTTCAAAAGAGGGTTTCTTTTTTGTTTGTTTTTTTCGAGACAGGGTTTCTCTGTTTAGTCCTGGATGTCCTGGAACTCACTCTGTAGACCAGGCTGGCCTCAAACTCAGAAATCCGCCTGCCTCTGCCTCCAAAGTGCTGGGATTAAAGGTGTGCGCCACCACTGCCTGGCCAAAAGAGGGTTTCTTTATACCCCTGGCTGTTCTGGAACTCAGTAGTCTGTAGACCAGGCTGGCTTTGTATGTACAGAGGTTGATCTGCCTCTGCCTACTATATGTAGGTATTAAATGTATGCACTACACTACCACCTGGCCTTAGTCTCCAACTTTTAATGATCCTTCTTCCATGCCTGGTTTTATGAGTATTGTGAAAGCACATGCTTGGATTATTTTGGAGGTTGGGTGAAGTCATTTTCTAGTTTAAACTTAAAAAAACTAAAGTACATGAGAAAAATAATATTGGACCTGGATAGATAGCTTAGTGGTTAAGAGCAGCTCTTGAAAAGGACCTGAGTTTGCTTTTTTTTTTTTTTGTTTTTTTTTTTTTTTTTTTTTTGGTTTTTGGAGACAGGGTTTCTTTGTGTAGCTCTGGCTGTCCTGGAACTCACTCTGTTTGTTTGTTTGTTTGTTTTTCGAGACAGGATTTCAATGTGTAGCCCTGGCTGTCCTGGAACTCACTCTGTAGACCAGGCTGTCCTCGAACTCAGAAATCTGCCTGCCTCTTCCTCACAAGTGCTGGGATTAAAGGCGTGCGCCACCACTGCCCCGCCTGAGTTTGCTTTTTAACACCCACATTAGACAGTTCACAACTGCCTGTAACTCCACCTCTAAGGTGGGAACCCTTTTCTGGGCCACCACAGGCGTTTACACTTGTGTGCATGGGCTCCTACGATTTTTTTTTTAAGTCCTTTAAAAAATTTTTTTTTAATTTATTTTGTTTCTGTGAGTACACTTTTACTGTCTTCATATACACCTGAAGAGAGCATTGGATCCTGCTACAGCCAGTGCGCCACCATGTGCTTGTTGGGAATTGAATTTAGGGGATCTGGAAGAACAGTCAGTGCCCTTAACCACTGAGCCATCTCTCAAACCCGAAAAAGATCTTTTAAAAAATGCTTTGGTGGCTGTGTTTCAGAAGCACTAAATTACATAGTCAGAAACAAAAAGTGAGTCTTTTATATTCTGGGAACTAGCCAGTTGTTGAGCTCCAGTTTCAGTTAGAGATGCTATTTCTGAAATTACAGTAACAGAGTGAGAGAGGAAGAAACATAACATTGACTTCTGGTCTCCTTAGGGATAAACACCTTTCACACAAAAATGTGAACCTTTTGGTTACACAGGGTTTACTATGGTTTAGTAGGTTGTTCTTTGCAAATTGTTAAAGTACTTTGATAGTGCTAGCAGTTGGTAATATAGGAATTTTCTGTACCCATTCCCATCGTATCAGTTGATTTGCAGATAAAACCACTGGCATTTAACTTGGCTCAGATAGGCCTTGTGGAATGCATGTTTAGTCAGTACTTTGGAAGCAGAGGTGGGTTTGAGGCCAGTATGGTATAGATAGCAAGATTCAGAATAGCCAAGGCTATAACTTCTCAAAAAATCAAACCCAACTTTTCTTATTTCCTTTTTCATAAGTTGTAGAATAATGACATTTGTGGGGTTTTTTTGTTGTTGTTGTTTTTTGTTTTATGGAGGAAGAGTTAAAAACATTTACCTGGAAGCTATGTACTCCCATATACTAGTGAGATGCAGAAATATTGCTGAAAGTAGTTTGGGGTATTATTTTGTAAGATTTTGTCTTGTTGAGAAGGTAAAAAGAACAAAAATATCACCATCTAGCTTAATGAAAAATGACAGTGAGTATATACTTAATCTGTGTGAATTGATTGTATCAGCTAAAACAGGTGATATTTTAAGTTGTCTTATCAATAGCAATTAAAAACTTATTTGAACAACTGATGTGTAACTGTACATCATAATAGTTGTAGGTGTGGCTACACACTTAAATCTTAAAAATAACTAGTTGTTCTCAATTTTTTAAGCTGGCTGGAGTCTGTGACTTGCTCATTGGGGAGAGCTGATGAAGACATTTCTCTTTTCCTTCATAGCTTATTGTAGGAAGCTACTTTTTGGTATTCAGAATGGTTTGGAATTATTTAGGTTTTGATACTTTGAGTGTAATGTGATTGTCTTACCAAATGACTAAATGACTATTTCGTGAGTTGATGGGAGATTTTTGCAAGAGGCAATATATAGGTAAACTTTCTTATTCTTAATCACACCAGGTTTAGTTTTATAAGAAAATCATTAGTCTTTTAGCTGACATTTGGAGGAATATACTATAAAACAGTGTGTATATTCTAGTGTAGGTCAAATTTGAATTAGATGATAACCACTAACTGAAGATAAACCAGATCAGATGCTGATTTGGATTAGCCTCTTTTCCATTCTATCTTAGAATGTAGGTCGACAGATATTTATCCGAATCAGACAAGACAAGAAATACTTGTAATTACATCTCAATACTGAGGAATTTTTCCTTGTAGAAACTGAAGGCTCAGAGGAAGAAGACAAAGAAAATGACAAGGCTGAAGAAACACCAAATGAGTCAGTTCTTGAAAAAAAAGTAAGCTGTTATTCCTTCAGTACTATTACAACTCTCTTACTGTAGGGTTATGGGTTACGAATATTGGAAATGTTCCTGTAAGAGATAGCTGCTCCTTGAAGAGTGCTTAGGGGTTCTTTTTTTTTTCCATTATAAGATCAAATACAACATTATGATTATATTTCATTGAGATAACATGACAAATTTTAGTGGGTATACTTTTGGTCGGTTTTAGGGGAGAAGGCCTGCATTAAATTATACATTTAAGATTCAGTCTCTAAAAAGATGCCTGTCTTGTTCTTTTGCCTTAACGCCAATGATTTGTATATATTTCAGTCTCTTCAAGAAAATGAAGAGGAGGAGATTGGGAATTTAGAACTTGCCTGGGATATGCTGGATTTAGCCAAGATCATTTTTAAGAGGTAAAAACTCATGGTGTTTTGGGGCTCATGTGGGAATTTGTGGTTGAAAATAAAAAGCAGTTTAAGATTAGACAATTATTTTTAAGGCTTTACAAATTTTTGTTTTAGGCAAGAAACAAAAGAAGCCCAGCTTTATGCTGCACAAGCCCATCTTAAACTTGGAGAAGTTAGTGTTGAATCTGGTAATGCATTTCTTTATGCTGTCTTCTACCTTTCCCCATTCTCCCCTCTTGTTTTCTTTAGAATTGAGCTTGAACCTCTAAAATTACAAAGGCAGGTTTTCCAGCCCTCTGCTGACTAAAGGAGAAATGTGTTAGCCTTGAGCTGTCTCTATGTATAACAAAATCCCGTAGACAAGAATAAGAGGTTTGAGTTCTCTATACCATCTAGAGCAGTAAACAGCCTTGTAAATTGTGTATCCTGACAGTTAATTCAAGCATTCCAGAGGGGAGACAGAGACTCCAGGGCAGCCAGATCTATATAGTGAGACCCTGTTTGGAAAGAGGGAGAGATGACTCCATTCATGAACTGAATTTTTGTTAAATCCATGGTGTTGTTTCTTTATTTATTAGAGAATTATATCCAAGCTGTGGAGGAGTTTCAGGCTTGCCTAAGCCTGCAAGAACAATATTTGGAAGCTCACGATCGTCTCCTTGCAGAGACTCACTATCAATTGGGTTTGGCCTATGGTTACAACTCTCAGTATGATGAGGCAGTAGCACAGTTTGGTAAATCTATTGAAGTCATTGAGAAGAGAATGGGTAAGTGAACAGCAATTACTTTATGTTTAGGTGATACACTGATGTACGTTGTTGCGGGAAAGTGTGTTATTAATGACTCCAGGCTCTTTGTAGCTGTACTGCATGAGCAGATGAAGGAGGCTGAAGGATCATTTACTGAATATGAAAAAGAAATTGAAGAGCTGAAAGAACTGCTACCTGAAATTCGAGAGAAGATAGAAGATGCAAAGGAATCTCAGCGGAGTGGGAATGTAGCTGAACTGGCCCTGAAAGCTACTTTGGTTCGTTGAATTTTATCTTAAAATTTTTTAAATAATATACTTGTATGGTACAATTAACGTTTATAGTCTATTTAAAAGGTAATTTTTCTCATGACTTGATTTTGAGTTAGATGATCAAAATGTGAGCTCATTTCACTCATTCAAGTAGTCCCATGGTTAGAAAGTGTGTTCTGTATGCAGGAGACAGGAGTAGATTCTTCCACTGCTACTTTGTCCTTGGTCATTTCTTTGCCTTTCAGTATATATGTTACTATTTGTAAAATGTTTTTTGAGAATACCATATAGAAACAGCTTATATCGTAGAGTCTCTTAGCCCTAAATTTCCTGGCTCTGCTCTGGGGGTATACTCTGTATTGGAAATAATAGGACATGAGAATGGTTTAGTTTCTTGCCTACTCTGAATTTCCCAGGTGTCTGTTTTGAAGAATTTGCTGTGATGCCGTAGGCAAAAGGAATGTTACCTTTTAATCAGGTGCTTGTGTGGTAGGCAACTTGAGCCTGAGTGACTGGGGTTCTATGCTGTAACTGACTTGTGTCTCACACAGGTGGAGAGCTCTACTTCAGGTTTCACTCCTAGTGGAGCCGGTGCCTCAGTATCCATGGTGCGTATTTTGTTTCTGTCACTAGGCTTACTATGATAAGGTATTTGTGAATGATAACTAACAGGCTCATTTTTTTTTCCAGATTGCCAGTAGAAAACCAACAGATGGCGCTTCCTCATCAAATTGTGTGACAGATATTTCCCATCTTGTCAGAAAGAAGGTAAAATTTACATGGACTTACTTTTTTCAATGTCTGCATTTTGAGAGTGGGAAGTTTGTAATAATACACTAGGAATAATAGATTTACCCTCCTAAGTGGCACAGTGAGACATTCATTTTCAAAGAATCTAAGGCTTTGCATGAATGGGTTTCACTTGGAATAACTGGCAGACTTAGCCTGGTGGCTGTTTGGAAAGCAGATGGAGGACTGAAAAGATGAGTATATTTTAGGAATCTTGCTGGCTTTCCTTCATAGTAGGTCTTCTTACACTTCTACCTTCTGCCAGTAGCCCCAATCAATAATCCTTTTCCTGTCGGTGTAACTCTTTGCTTCTGTGTCTTTACTTGTGTTTCTTCATTGTTCAGATCTCTACCCCTCAACCTTCGCCCAATTCCATGTGCCTCAATTTTTTTTTTCTAAGACAGGGTTTCTCAGTAAAGCCCTGGCTGTACTGGAACTCAATCTGTAGACTTAGAAATCTCCCTGCCTTTGCCTCCCAAATGCTCAGATTAGTGTGTGCCACCACTGCCCAGTTAACTATGTCAATTTTAAGATAAACTGTTGCTGGGCAGTGGTGGCGCACGCTTTTAGTCCCAGCACTTGCAGGAAGTGGCAGGCAGATTTCTGAGTTCGAGGCCAGCCTGATCTACAGAGTGAGTTCCAGAACAGCCAGGGCTGCACAGAGAAATCCTGTCTCAAAAAAAAGAAAGTAAGATAAACTGTGGCATTTATGTTGTGGTCAGCATTACCCTGTAACTAGAGAGCAGATCCACAGGGCTGTGAGTCAGGGTGTTCAAGATGTTGCCACCACAGGATTATTCTGCAGTTGTTTTTGTTTTCTTAAGATAAATATGAACCCTTTACAATTCAATTTAAATTCAATTTAGAGGAAACCAGAGGAAGAAAGTCCCCGGAAAGATGATGCAAAGAAAGCTAAACAAGAGCCAGAAGTGAATGGAGGCAGTGGGGATGCTGTCTCCAGTGGAAATGAAGTTTCAGAAAACATGGAAGCTGAGGTGGGTAGTGTAAGACATGGCCACTTGCCTCACACACTGTTCTTAGGGCTGGGAAGCCAGGCCTCGAGTGCATATGTGAAAAATGAATGTACTGAAAAGTTATTGATATCCATATGACTTTATTGGATATCTGGCAGATGGATTCAATTTATGGTTTCTTTAATAACGAATGTATGGAAGAGTACCTGGTCAACAATACTATTTGATCCTTTCTACTTTATTCTTTCTGTGTGATCTCCTGGGTTTTTCAGCCTCATCATTTGATTGGGAAGGACTGAAGCCTGCTGTTACATATGGGATGACTTATGTCAGGGTAAGTAATAGCTAGGCACTTTGTCTTTCAGGCTGAGAATCAGGCTGAGAGCCAGACAACAGCAGAGGGGACAGTGGAGTCTGCAGCTACAGTTAAAAGCACTGCATGTTAAGAGGCGAGCAGAACCTTCCTCCTGAGAGAAAGTGGTTTTGTACATAATGTATTTTTTCACTTTTGGGGATTCTTTTTGTATAACTCCAATAAAGATTGTAGGCAACAGCTGAGGCTTTGATGGCTTTTTTCTTAAATATTGGTGGAATGCTTTGGGGGCACTCTACATTTCTTGTGTGTACATGTTTGTGTTTTGTTATTGTACAACCTACTTCCTGTCTAATGTGGAGGTGATCAAGTGTGGCTAGAGGCCCTTCATCTTCTACTGGTGCTATGTTTCTATTTCCAAATACTTGGCTGATTTAATTATCTTGTAAGCTTTCAGTGGTGCTGTCCTGGATGGGTTTGCTAAACAAGAACTGGTAGAAATCAGTTTGGTGCTGAAAATGGATGATGGAATATGACCCAGGTCTTGGTTTGTGCCTATCTTCTGTTCACCTGGTTTCCATTTAAGACCATAATCCTATCCTGGGAAAACTGGTAGAAACATGGGAAGTGATTCCTGAGGAAAACAGTTGTTAGAGATTCACTCTGATTTCGAAGGCTCACACTGTAGTGGGAGACAAGTAGAAGACTCTGGAAAAGAAAGTCTGTTATGTTATTTTCTGTATACAAAGATTACAGTATGTCAAGTGGAATTGTTATATTGTCTGTAGTTTTGTCTATAAAAATAAATATGATAATTTTAACAAAGCCCTTGTTCTGGAATACTTGAAAGACTACAAGAAGTGTCTGGGCTGCCTGGAGTACCTCATTGTGGGATATGGTGTTGTGGCAAACTGGTCCATCAGTTCTTAGTGTCTAAATGAGGGAAGGTGGTCAGGTGTTAATGCCATCCTATTGAGCTAGGACAGTCAGGTTACATAGTCATACTGGCTCATTAAAATGCTATTATTAAAACACAGACTGCCCTCATTTCTGCTATAAAGCCTGGTCTTGAGGATGCAGTTGTACAAAATGACTTCTCCAGTTTCTCTCATAATATTTTTTTGTGTTAGTCACTAAAGCTTGGCTGAAGAGTATCTGACTCTTCTTGAGAACTATTGTTATACTCAAGTCCTAACATGTTTTTCCTCATTTTTCCAGTCAGAAAATTCTTTATATTCAGTGCAGGATCCTTGCTGTTTGGATCTGTGGTTAGGTCCAGGATGCAATTCCAGTACATGATCTTCTACTTGGCTGGACAATAATTAGGCTAAGGTCTATCCTTGGATCTGGAGTTTCCTTTATATTGAAAGCTTGATCCTGGATAAATTTCTGTCTACAAGTCCTAAGAATGCAGAGTTGAGTGAAATTTGACAACACTGGCTTTGGTAAATCTTTGCTGTTTTCAGAGAGTTGAGTGCTAGGCAGTTTTAAATATTTAAATATTTATTTAAACGGCCTAGCATTTATTTAAATATTTACCCCTGGATCTGCTTTATTAAAGGAAAATAAATGCAGAAGAAAATCTAGTTGGCTTTAGCGGGTTTAGGCTAAGTGTTCTTTTTCATCACACAGTATTTAAGGATCAAATTGCCACTTCTACAAGACCCCATTTAAAAAGCTGCAGGTCTAGAAATTGGTGTTTCTGTCAAAACTGGTGAGGACTCAAGCGCTTATCTTTATCTTTGACACTGACAAAAACCTCTTCTGTGGGAGGTCGGGGGTCAGCAAAGCCAGAACTTTGGGTGAAGAAACTCGATTCCACGGAAGATGAACTGGACACCTGCAGAACATGAAAGGTGTGTGTTTGTTTTTAAAGCAAAACTAGAGACAAATGTTGGAGTTAGATTATCTTGGACAACGTTTAAAGAAAAGCAGGTTAAGCAGGGCAGTGGTGGCTCACGCCTTTAATCCCAGCACTTGGGAGGCAGAGGCAGGCGGATTTCTGAGCTCGAGGGCAGCCTAGTCTACAGAGTGAGTTCCAGGACAGCCAGGGCTACACAGAGAAACCCTGTCTTGAAAAACCAAAAAAAAAGCAGGTTAAGCATTCTTGTGTTCTTTTTCTTCCACATGGTATTTCATGGGTAAAAGTAAGAATCAAAGGAGGTATTGGTACACACTATCCAATAGAAGCTGCTTAGCCAACAGGCTGACCTGTTACACTCAGAAGCAAACTCACCATTGGTGGGTACTGGTATTCATGTGCACTTGCTGGATTGATCTCTGCCAATGTCTGGTCATCTGTATCTCTTGCATTTACCAGCCTCAGAAAGAGCTCAGCCTGGCCTGCCTGACAAAGGAAGTGGTACTCCATTGGGATCTTGGGGTATACCCAGTCTCTACCCTCTATACTTACCTGGGGAATCTCATTCATCTGTGCAAGGCTGAGGCTGGTGTTAAGTGGAGGGACCCGAAGTGGGAGGCGCCAACGGCCACTGAGCACCCTTAGATCTTGGTCAAATAGCAATATTGAGGTCCAAGCCTTTGGTTGTGGTGCCCATGTAACTCCCTGCCAAGCCTGTAGTTCACAGATCAAAGATACTAGTGGTGATGGAGGCAGCCTGTAAAACAACCAAAAACCATGTTGGAAGACAGCTGAAGTCCCTTCCTAGGGTACTGTAGGATTGTTGTTGGGCCCAGCATACAGATTAAACATAATGTGCAGCCTTTATGACCTATACCTACTAACCTAGGCACAGGCTGCCTGCTTGCGAGGATAGCATAGTTGCCCATAGGTCCAGCAGCTGAAGGTGGTGGCAAGCAAAGGGCTGGAGGTAATGCTGTGGTCCCTCCAGTATTCTGTCCCTCTTGGGCCACATTTGTCGTAAGCTGCACCCAAATCCAAGAAGCCTCAAGGCCCCACAGGAAGTCATAGAAAATGACAAGGCCAGCCCTGAAGAATACAAATCTATGTACATAGAGCCCCTAATGCCTCCAACCAGCCAGTACTTCCACCCTGGATGGCTGTTTTGGAACAGTCTCCATAAATGTCAGTAGTGGTTAAGTAAAAAATGCTGTGAAGGAGGGAGCAAGCCTCACCCAGGATCATAAGGTGCAGGACCTAGAACATCCGATGCTGGTAGGAGGAAGTGGAGATCTAGACCCAAGTTTGTCATGGCTCCATTAAGTATCTATTGTGGACAAAAGAGTTCAGCCGTACAGATTTGCAATCTGCCCATGCTCCCCAAGCTGCATGTCAAGGGTTACCAGCCATCAACCCCAACTCTGCTGACTTCCTCACAGCCTTTGAAGTGTCATGGAAGTTCTGGACTTTTGAGGAACTTGTAAGTTGTGGCATTGTGGGTGCAACTGGTGGAGGGAGGAGGGAGTTATTGAACCTTCTACTCAGTTGTTGCCAGAGATCTCTGGGTTCTAGAAACAGAAAATAAAGTTGGCTTGAGCTGGAGGAAACGGGAAACTTTGTAAGTCAGGGGGAGTACAGAGTCATAAACCAAAGACACAAGTATAGATGTACAGACAGAAACTGATGTTACAGATATGGATGTCATTCTCCTGACATGGTCCCTTCACCCCTTCAGAGTTTGGTTCCTTGGGATGGTCTAGGGAGAGGCTGCATTTTTCACTGACCCCAGGGCGACAGACTCAGTATTTTCTGCTTCTGCAAAGCCAGGATTTCTGCCTCCAAGAACCTGTTTTCGGTTTCCACCATAAGAACCTCCTCAGAGGCGGCACTTGCTTTTTCTGAGATGAATTAAAGTAACCTGTCAAACGTTATGTAGTTCTCCAACGTTAAGCGTTTCTGCATAACCCTGGATTTGTCAGCTGGCAATGGGTTTTCCTTTCTTAAGCGGAAGTGCCTCCCATTCTGGTGCTATCCCTCACACCCTTTTCTCCTCCCAAGTCTAGGACTATCAGTGTAGAGGCCCTCTAGGCTGGACCCTTTTGTTCACCCTTGCGGTTCTGCGACCGCCGCAATTCCAGGGCTGACGCCTCCACTTGAAGCTGCAATATTTTGTCCAGAACTTCTGGGTCCCGGCCTCCACCGCGCACGTAGGCTTCACGCAGGACACTAGCAAGCAGCAGAAAGCGATCTCCGAGACTGATCAGACTCGCGCCCCCGCCCACCCGGTGCCGGGGTCCTCACCGGATCTCTGCAGCCAGCACTTCCGGGTTGGACCGTAGCGGCAGGCAACAGAAATCCACTACCCTATGGAGGTCCTGCTGGTTGCTGGCGCGGGGAGATGATGTCACTGACGCCTGCGCCCAAGGCCCCACCCCACCCGCCCTCCTACCAAAGCTGGGCTAGGGGCTCACGGAGGCTGAGGCTGGAGCGCCTCGACACGCGCTCCCAGCGTTTGCAGCGCTCCCCGTGTCCGGCTGGCCTCTTCCCTGAGTTCTCTGAGCTCTCGCTCCAAGACGAATGAGCCGGGTAACCCTCCCTTGGGTCCCGCTACGCTGCGGAGGCGCCGTTTTAGTTCTGAGGGAGAAAGGGGCGGAGTCAGGGTGACTCCTAACACAGCGCCAAGGCCCAGAGTCTATGCCTCCCAACCTCTCACCTTCACCGCGAAGCTCCAGGGCCCGGCTTTGCGCTTCCGTCTCCGCCAGGCGTCTGACGCGGGTTCCCTGCAAGGCTCGCAGCCTCTCCCCAGGGCTCCCTGCAGTCTGGGAAGTGAGACTCTCAGTCTCCCAGGGACTTACTTTTTTCTGTAGAGACAGTCTCAGCAACTGCACCTGCACGTAACCCGGACCCGCTATCTCTGTTCTGGGTGGTCTCCCGCAGGTACTATCTACACATGTGAAGTTTGTAGCCATGTTGGGTGTGTACCTCCTCTGTCAGCCTCTTTAGAGCAGATGTGCTGGCCTCCTGACCTGATCGGCTCTGTTCTTGTGCCATAATCTGGGGGCAGGAAGATGAAAACCTAAGAATACTGCTTGCTGAAAAACCTATCCCTGGCCACTGGCGGCCCTTACCTTGGTGCCCCGTCGTTCGATGGTTACTGAAGGCTGTGTTACTTCCGGAGTCAGCCGGCCAATGCAGAATCGTTTGGTGTGTGTGGCCAACAAAGCCCAGGAACGGAAAACCATATCACAGGATTCACAGGGCAAAAGCCCTGACTCCGCAGAGTAACTGGCCATGGAATGGAATCTGTTATAGACACCAGCGTTCTACAGAGGATGTGGTAAAAGAGAAAAGGCAGACTGGAAAGAAGAGAGAGAATAGGGACAAAGAATAAACCAACTCTGTTAAATCTCCAAGTCCTTCAAATTTATGTTTATGTTTGGGGAGGTGCCCTAGCTCCCTGGGCAGCGAGTACAGGCTTAGGCAGGCCAGGACAATGTGCTTTGCCACCTTTGGGTGGAGCCCAGGTGAGACAGTGTCACAGTTTGTTCCACCAATTGCAGTGAGTTTGGCCAAGTATGTTAACAGCAGCTTTGATTTGCCTATAGAAATGGCAGCCTCTGTAACTAGCCTCTGATAGGCAAGTGTCATCTGTACCACTGCTGTTCTATGAAACAGACAGAATTCAAACTAGAGCTGTTCTCCACTGTAGGGAACGTTTCCACAGAAAGTGAATCTCATATTAGCAGTATGCCTTTGCATAAACCCATCACACAATGGAGTAGTCTTTCTAACTCCCATTCTCGAACAGGGATGATCTGAACCGCCCCAGTAATGAAAACTGGGAGACGGGTTGGTAAGAATACTATCTGTCGGATGAAGGGACAGGATACTGTTTGGGAGTTAAGCATGCTCTTTTTGCTGGTAAAGTTATCTTCACCTTTACACAGACTTGTAAAAGCAACTGATGTAATTGTCATCTCCTAGGCTGTCTCTGTCTGCGAATCTATGCCTCGAATGTTTTCAGCCTGAGACTTACAATAAACTCACTCTAGCTCTTCCTCAAAGCTGCCTGGGTGACTCAACTCAGCTGTTCTATCTCAAAGTCCTCTCCAAATTGACTGATTCAAACAGACTTCTCTCAGCTTCTCATTGAAATGCTCTACTTGGTAAAACTGCCTCTGAACTCAATAGAACTCCAAAATGTACTCTCTCCCTACACTGCTCTTAAGTAGCATTTCTTTCCGGTCTGTGTGAGTTGGACTTAGCCTATCTCTGACTCATTTGGTTAGATATTTATTTGATTTACCACATTGTCGAATCCTTGATTAGACATCACTTTCATGGTGCTTCTTTCTACAAACTAACCTTACATATATTGTTTGGGATTAAAGATGAGGGCCGAGGGTATGTTTGTATTCCAGCCAGATCATATAGACACAGGTCTTTTGGATGTTAACCCTTACAAGAGCAGACATGTTCCTGGATTAAAATTCCTCTACACAGATCCATGCACCTAATTTTCAAAGCAACCTTCTTTCCTCAGTAAGACAGTCGTTAGGGTATTTCCCCCCAAAACAACCAAAGTATGAGGTGCAAGTAATAAAATGTTTCAGAGTATGTGTTCTGAAACATTTTATAAAAGCTGAACATTCTCTCCAGTGTCCCAACAACATATTGCTACTTCATAGAACTAAAGTTTTTCTTTTTTGGTGTATGGGTATTTTGCCTGCATGTATGCATTCAGTTCTCAATGTGGCTAGAAGAGGAATCCTCTGGAGCTGGCATTAGGTAATGATTGCTAGTTGCATTTGAATCGTGGACCACTTAAAGGGCAGCTAGTGAGCCCTCCATGGGGCCATCCCTCCAATTCCAGCACATATTTTTGTTTTTTTGTTTTTGTTTGTTTGTTTGTTTTGGTTTTTCGAGACAGGGTTTCTCTGTGTAGTCCTGGCTGTCCTGGAACTCACTCTGTAAACCAGGCTAGCCTCGAACTCAGAAATCCACTTGCCTCTGCCTCCCAAGTGCTGGGATTAAAGGCGTGCGCCACCACCGCCCGGCTCCAGCACATATTTTAAAAATTGGGTTACATGAGCATTATTCTGAAAGTAGTAAATTTTCTTTTATTTCTTTTTTTTTTGGTGGTTTCAGGTAGTAGATCCAGGGCCTTGGACATGCAATACAAGTAAGTGTTCTGCCAATGAGGTACAATCTCCAGCTGTTAATTTCCTTAACGTATCTTTTATATATTTTTTTTTTTTGTTGGGGGGAGGGTGGTTTAGAGACAGGGTTTCTCTCTGGCTGTCCTGGAACTCACTCTGTAGACCAGGCTGGCCTCAAACCCAGAAATCCGCCTGCCTCTGCCTCCCAAGTGCTGGGATTAAAGGCGTGCGCCACCACTGCCTGGCTCCTTAACATATCTTAACATTTAGTTTGTGCATGTATGTGTTAGCACAGGTAAGGTATCATGCCAAGGGAGACATTTACCTGCTTTCATCATGTGGATCCCATGAATCAAACCAAAATCCTCAAACTTGGTGACATGAACTGACTCATTGAGCCATCTTGGTGGCCCTAAAATAGACACAGGTATGGAACCACAACCATGAAAACTGCAAAAGCAGCAGATGCTCCTAACCACTAAGCCATCCCTCCAGCCTCCTTATCCATTCTGTAGTATGTGTGCATGTCATTCATGTTCACATATACAACTCAGAGAACAAACTGTGGGAACCATTTTTCCTTCCACCACGTGTTTCCGAGGATGGAAGGTTTAAGACTTAGTGGGCAAGTGCTGATCCCACAATGAGTCATTCTCATTACCCATCTCCACTGCCATCTTCCTTCGTTCAGTCACTCCCATGCACCCATTTGATTTAAGTAGGAAATGTGAGTCAGGCCTCCTTTGAAACATTCATATTGCTAGCTGGACACTTGGCTCAACACCAGTTCAGAGCTGCTCTTCCAGAGGACCAGCCCTCTGGCAATAAGTGAAGCATGGTGTTCACAGACATACACATAGGCAAAAACACCTACGCATAAAACAAAACCAACACGGGGTAAAAAAAAAAGTCTTCTCAAACCCAGGTATATTGATAAATCCTGGTCACTAAAAAAATTCCTTCAGGAAAGAAACTGTAGTTTATTATGAATAATTTATTGCACAGGTTTTTCCACATCAAGATTTTTTGCTGAAAAGAGAAAAAGGTGGGCCTGAATTCAGTTTTCCTCCAGATTTCTAAAAATATTTCCCCTAAAAAAAGAATCCACTCTCTAATTTTAAAGAAAATATATTTCTTACACAAGACAATCCAAACTGATGCAAAATATTTATTCCACGTTAGTTATTTTATGCAGTAGTTTTTCCCCTCAACAGACTTGTGGTAACCACATCTTTTAAATCTGTAAAGAATGTTATCAAAATAATCTTAATCTTTGAAATCTCACAAAAATTCATATTTTACAATCCACCCTGAATATCAAGGCTGCAAGAATAACATTTCCTATATCCAAATATTTTACAGCTGTACCCCAAAAAAGGAAAGAAAAAAAACCCAAAAACAAAAACAACCACATATGCTTGGTTAAGGGCTAAGTTACCCCAGCAGCCAAAAATAAAATAAAATATCCAAATTATTAGCATTAATTTAATACAGTTATAACTTCAATAGTCACTTTGTCATTGACAATGATTGCGTGAGCACAGGGGGGAGTGCCCGAGGGCTGGCAGTAGAAGCTGTTGAGCACAGCAGCATCTCCATCCTGCGTATGTGCCCTGACAGCTCCCATTTGTGCACAGCCCCACAGGTACTGTGTGTGTGCTTAAAAAAAATCCCACCACACAAATGCCTATTAAGCAGATAACAGGGAAGAACAACAAAGGCTAAGCAAGACAATTGCTCTCTCTTTGGGATATGATTATTTCCCTTGTGCATGAAGTATTCAACAACATAAGAAAAGGAAAAGAACACTTTATATCCTCTAAACACAAGGCTGAGCTGAGCGGGGCAGGTCAACTGTGAGCATTTACAGTTCTACTTCCAGGCGTCGTCGTCTGACGTCTCGCTGCTGCTTGTTTCCGTGTCTGAGTCCTCACACTCTGCAATGCAAGTGCTTCTCCATGGGGAGAGCAGGCTGGAACTACGGCTTTGTAAGAAGCCATTCTTTCCAAACCCATTTCTTCGTAGCTAGGGAGCATAGGAGAAAGAAAATAAAAATCCTTCAATGACTATACTGGTCTAGGGGAGTATGTGGAGGGGAATCCCAAGAGATCTAATAAAGCAGTACTTTTCAAACTTCAATGTGGAGATAAGTCTTTTTTTGTTTTTGTTTTTTTGAGACAGGGTTTCTCTGTATAGCCCTGGCTGTCCTGGAACTCACTCTGTAGACCAGGCTGGCCTCAAACTCAGAAATCCACCTGCCTCTGCCTCTGCCTCCCAAGTGCTGGGATTAAAGGTGTGCACCATCACCGCCTGGCCCGTGGAGTCTTACAAGGATTTCATTTGTTTTGAGACAGTGTCTTACTATGTAGTCCTGGAACACTCTACGTAGACCATGCTGGGCTCAAATTCAGAAATCTCTCCGTTTATGCCTCAGGTTCCAGGCATAATGATGTATGCAACCAAAGCTGGGTCATCTCAACTTTTTTCCCTTTTCCATTAAAGTCACAGTCTAGTTCAATATGGTGGGTGTAGGGTTTAAGAGTTCCTATTTCTAAAATAGTTCTAAGTGGTAAAAGCTTATGTCAGCCTGTAGATGGCCCTATTGTGATTCTTGCCAGGTGTCATTTATGCTTTAAAGATATTTATTTTTAATTATGTGGGTGATGCATATGAAAGCTGGAGATTGCACATCCTTTAAAGCTGGAATTACATGTGGTTGTCAGCCAACATGGGCGCCAAGAATCAAAATCAGCTCCTATTCAAGAGCTACATGCCATCCTTACCACTGACCCATCTCTCTCCAGCCCACGATTTATGCTGCAGAGGGTAAGTGAGGTTTTCAAGACGACTCAGGAGCTCAGACCTTACCTTTCGATAAGGGTTACAACTGTGAGCACGGAGCCCGTATCCTCCAAGTCTGTTAGTCACTGGTCTGGGCTCTATCTTTTTCAAGTCCTACTGTAGAAATGGATTGACACTGTGCTATACTACTGTGGTAGTTTAAGTCTCTCAATTTTATTGCTTCCTTGTCAGCCAACACATGGCTGTCATCTCAGTAACTATGAAGCAGAGGCAGGAGGATTGCTGGAGGTTCAAGGTAGCCTATTATACATAGTGTGTTCCAAACTACTCAGGACTGTAAAGTGAGATCTGCAGGTTCTTTTTTTGTTTTTTTTTTTTGTTTTTTGTTTTGGTCTGTCTTGCTTTGAGACATGGTTTCTCTGTGTAGCCCTGGCTGTCATAAAAATCTGTAAACCCAGGCTGGGATTAAAGGCATGTGCTACCATACCTGGCGAGATCCTGTCAGCAAAAACTGGCCCTCAAACTCCAAATAAACACTAGAATTTTCTTTTTTTCCTTTTGTTGAGACAAGGTTTCTCTGTGTAGCACTGGCTGTCCTGGAACTCATTCTGTAGACCAGGCCGGCCTCGAACTCAGAAATCCGCCTGCCTCTGCCTCCCAAGTGCTGGGATTAAAGGCGTGCGCCACCACTGCCTGGCTAACACTAGAATTTTCTAAGGGCAAATAAACTAACATTTAACTTGGTGTCAGTGAAGGCTGAGCTCAGTACAAACCTGCTCTGTTCTCATGTGAAACTCCTTGAGTTCATCCTCTGTGAGTGGAAGGCAACTCTCATCATTTTCAGGATATTCCTGCCATCCCATTGCTTTTAATAACCTGGAGGAGGCAAAAGGATAGACAGCAAAGAAAACATGCTAGTAAGCCCGACTGTGCAGCCCAGTAGTACCCACAGGAAAAGTTTGTCCAAGGCCAGTGAACGATACAAAAGGAATTTCGTATTCTCCCTAGTAGGACAAGTTACTCAGGTGCTTATAAGTAAATGGAGGCTCTTAATGATTTAAGGAAAAATGAAATATTGGAAAAGATAATAGAAATAACAAATAATATGGTACAAATAAAATCTCAAAATCCCCACTGTAAGAAATTTTTTCATAGACCCAAAAAGGAAGAAGAAATTACCCTTTGTTCCTTGTGAACAAATGAGCATATCTCTGTAGTCCATAGCTTGTTCAATTTCACAGCATCATAGAACTCTTTTATAATTTTACTAACCCCTGAGGTTCCTTTAGATAAGTAGTTCTCAACCTGCGGGTTTCTACCTCATTGGGAGTCCAATGGCCCTTTCATAGGGACTGCATATCCTACATGTCAAATACTTACAATTCATAACAGTAGCAAAATATTTGTGAAGTGCAAAGAAAATAATGCTATGGTTGGGAAGGGATCACTTCAACATGAGAAACTGTATTATTAAAGGGTCTCGAAGAAGTACTGTCATACTGGTAGGTTGTAAATAGCAGATTATTCTATGTATGCAAGGCTTTCAGTTAATCAGTTGGTTCGATATATAGGATTTTCAGGCATCAAAGCCCCTTTAAAGATAATTCACAGTGGTGATGCACGCCTTTAATCCTAGCACTTTGGAGGCAGAGGCAGGCGGATTTCTGAGTTCGAGAGTTCGAGGCTAGCCTGGTCTACAGAGTGAGTTCCAGGACAGCCAGGACTACACAGAGAAACCCTGTCTTGAAAATACTTCACAGTAATTGCTCAAATGGGACAGTAATCCATTTGTTGCTTGCACACCTGACTATGCCCCTAAATAGTCTAACACGGGGGAATACAGCGTGAATAATTAGGATTTCATGGCCACACCCCTTACATTTTAAGTACTTTTATGGGTCTTACATGCCATTTATCTTATCCTCACCTGTGCTCTGCTTCCAGAGAGTGTGACAGGACCTCCCCTTCCTCTACCATGGGTAGAGAAAGACCGTTCTGAAGACAACCTTGTTCTCCATTTTCCTTTGGTTCAGGTGTGTGGCTGCCCTCCAACTGTAATAAGGAAAGGGATGAATGCAGCCAACA